GGTCTTTAAGTCATCCATGGGGTAGAGTAGCCTTGGCTCTGTGGGTGCAGTTTGCTTACCAGAGTTTGGGGCCACAGGGCCAAGTATAGGGGCCATTCTACTGTAAAATCTTTGTGGAGAACAACATGCAAGCTGAGAACCCAGAGTGTTCCTCTTCACCATTCACCTGCAGGCTCTGTCCCATCCTACTGCTGCAGAACCTGGCCACATAGCCCTGTAATTGGTGACAGGTTTGCTTGTGGCTGGAGAACCTGTGGAGTGGCCTGGGATAGTTTAGGCTCGGGGTGTGTGTGTGTGTGTGTGTGTGTGTGTGTGTGTGCGCGCGCGCGTGCGCGTGTGTGCGCGCGCGCATTGCCCGGGAGCAGAGCAAGGAGCACGTGGGCGGGGGGGTGGGGCGGGGGAGGTTCTGTGAAATGCAGTTTGGTGATTGGAACAGAGTGAGCATACCAGGACTGCGAGATAAAAGGAGAGTCCCCACACCATACCAAAGAGGGTGGTTTCAGTCAGAGGACAGTAGGGGATTTTAGCAGGAGAATAACAATTAGGTCACTGTTTTATTTACTTACGTACTTAACATTATAATTTTGTTTATTCTGAATGGATGGTATACACCTCTTTTTAGAATGAAAAGATACAGAAGAATGTAGTGAGGAGTTTCCTTCCTACCCTTGTCCCCTGCCTGTCTATCACCCAGCTCCTGAAACAACAGAACCAAATGTTCTGTTGTTTTCCTTAAATATTTTATGCATATAGAAGCAAACACTGATATACAACACACACACACACATACACACAGACACACACACATCTTTCCCCCTTTTTAACAAATTACATTGGCCTGCCCCTTTTCTCACTTACTTCACTCTGGAGATCATTCCATAGGGTTATAGAAAGAGCTTTCTCATTCTTTGTAATGGCTGTATAGTATACTATTCTCTGGTGTCACATTATTTATTTTTACCCTGTCCTCTACTGATGGATATTTCCATGGTTTTCAACCTTAGCTTCAGCAATCATGCTACAGGGACATTTCACATGTATGCAGGCTTGGCTGTGTCAAAGATTATGTATTTTTGATAGCTGTTTCCAAATTGACCTTCATAGAGGTTATACTGACTTACCCCCTCCCCAACCTCCCAACAGCGTATGAATCAAATGTCTTCCTTCCTTCCTTCCTTCCTTCCTTCCTTCCTTCCTACCCTTCTACCTTCCTTCCTTCCTACCTTCCTACCTTCCTACCTTCCTACCTACATTGGTTAACGGAATTCAGTACGTTTCAGGTTTACAATTCAATAGTAAGGCATATATATATTGCATTGTGTGCTTACCACCCATAGTTAGATTTCTTTCTGTCACCACATATTTGACCCCTTTTACCCCATCTACCTCTCCCCTCTCACCCCCTACTTTCTGGTGACTACTAGTCTACTGTCCGTGTCCGTGAGTCTCTGTTTGTTTCTCCTGTTCGTTTGTTGCTTTTAGGTGTGTATCCTACATATAAGTGATATCATGTGCTTTTCAACTTTTTCTGTCTGGGTTGTTTCACTTAGCATGATTATCTTGAGATCTATCCGTGTTGTCGCAAATGGCAGTATTTCATCTCTTCTTCTGGCTGAGTAATATTCCATTGTAGATAAGTACCATAGCTTCTTTAGCCAATCATCTATCGTAGGACACTTCAGTTGTTTCCATGTCCTGGCCACCATGAATAATGCTGCTATGAACAACGGTGTGCAAATATCTATTCAAGTCCCTGGTTTCACTTCTCTTGGGTATATACCCAAGAAATCGACCTGCTGGATCGTATGTAATGTTCTGTTTAATTGAAGAACCACCATTTTGGCTACACTGTTTTATATTCCCAACAATAGTGTACAACCTTCCATTAAAGATCTTAGTATATAGCTTTTATTCTAATTATTACAATTTTCAGTTTTATCTCTCATGTACAGTAGTCTGAGAAGATCCTAATTACTTTTTAGTCATACAGGTCACAGATTTTGGTTTCTAAGGAAAAAATCAAGGCTCATCATCTATACTGCTGGTACAATCCCAATTAGTGGTAATATTATTTGAAAGAACTTTAATTATTAAAGACTTTAAATAAATATATATTTCTTTAATGTTTTAGTAACCTAATTTTTAAAAGCCAATTAATACCAGAAAATGTAACCTAAATAACATTTGGCATTAAAAGAATAAGTATCTTAAAAACAGGTGATTGTTAAAACCTTCAATACTAGACCAGTAGGTCTCTATTATTAAAATATTTTATGGATTTGTTGTAAGAACTTATAAAACATTGTGACATGTTTTGATGAAAACATTTTAGTTTCAGTTCAACATTAAATCATATTTAGATGCTTTAACACCTTTATAGGAAGTTTTTAGATAATTTATATCCATCCCAGTGGTTATTAACACACAAACCAAATAGAATTCATTAAGTTTTAGCAGTATAAAGTTTTGGCATTAATTTCCAAATTTAGGTATGTATTTTACAGATTTTTAAGGTTATATATTTGGCGGCCTGTATGATTAACAGATGAAAAACAAAGAGTGACTTCCGGGGGCAGTTATCTGGGGAATAGTGCACAAGGCACCCATGTACAAGACATGGTTTTTTTAGTTATATCAGCTGTGGTCACATATCTCAAACTGTCTTAAACCAGATGAACTATTTTTTAAGACTTGAAACATTCATTAAGTCTCAGGTAGAGGGCCATAATATTTTTTATTTAGCCTATAAAGGGCATTTTTATCTCAGTAAAATTTCATCTTAAGAATAATTATTTAAAACTCTGAATCTTCTAATCCAAGAACATGGAATATCTTTCCATTTCTTTGTATCTTCTTCAATTTCTTTTAATAGGGTCTTATAGTTTTCATTATATAAGCACTTCACTTGTTTCGTTAGATGTATTCCTAGGTATTTTATTCTTTTTGTTGCAATTGCAAAAGGAATTATTTTTTCCACTTCTTTTTCTGACACTTCATTATTAGAATCTAGGAACGCTATGGATTTTTGAACGTTGATTTTGTATCCAGAGACCTTACTGTATTTGCTTATTGTTTCTAGTAGTGTTCTTGTGGAGTTTTTTAGGGTTTTCTATATAGAGAGTCATGTCTTCTGCAAATAATGACATTTGCTTCTTCATTTCCTATTTGGATGTCTTTTATATCTCTCTTGAATTATGTATCTTTAGAAACGTCCTTTTGGAAGGCTGTTTGGAGGATGGATTTCAAAAGGACAAGTTGAAGCTAAGGGACCTGTTGGGAAACAGCTGACAAGGGCCTGATTTGGGCCATGGGGACTGGAACTGGAACAGAGTTGGATTCCAGGGACGAACTGGCGATTTGGTAGAAATGAGAGAGAATCTTTTAGATGATGAGATTTTATAGGCCTCATTATTTAAAAAGGTGAGTCTGTTGTACATAATTTATCCTGTGTTCACGGTAGATAATAGAACAAGTAACCTCCTTCTGTTTGGCTGTTGTAGAGACCTGGGCCCTACTGCCTGGTGACTTGTCAAGGGCGATGCCAATGGGGGCTTCTGTGAGCATCTGGCCTGCCCCTCCTGGCCCCTTTGGACCATAGTTACACTTATGTCCCTGGTTGACAGGGTGAGATAGGAGAAGGGGCTGTGGAGGGCAGAGTGGAGGGGAGGGAGGAGAGTTGGGACATTCCGAGGCCGACTTAGAGTCAGAGTCTTCTAGCCTCCTGGGAGGCTAGAAGAGCTGTGTACGTATTGGTGAACAGGGAATAATTCTTTAGCAGTGGAGTCAGGCACCCTGGTTTCTGGTGGCCTTTGGTGCCAGTTGGCTGTGTGATCTAGAACAAGTGACCCTGTGATTCTGAGTCTCCCCTTTGTCTGAAATGCTAGGTTGTAGAGAATAAGTGGCTGCCTAGTACACACAGTAAGTGTGCCAACAAAAAAGACTGCTACTCCTCCTTGCCTTCCTCCCACCCCCATCCCCAGCAGTGAGAGTCACCCATAAAGTCTTCCTTTGCCTTACCATGACAATAATTTGATTTTGAAAACCCCTCATAGGGCAAAGAGGAAATATTTGCATATTCTTGCATCTATAAAACAATAACTTTTTGTTGAAACTATTCCAAATTCCATTAAAAAGGACATAGTTACTTCACTGGCTAACATTAGTTTTCCTAACATGACTTATAGCGGTTTCCCTTCAGTGTAATTTGTCCTGTAAATTGTCCACCTGCTATTGTTCAGGTCAGGTGTGGCCGTGTATTCAAACCTTGCTTACAATCTAGCACAGACATGCATGCACACATATATGCACATGCACACACATACGTGCACATACATGTATGATGCTATGTTGATATAGCTGAATCTTGTATTTTCCTACTTCCCTCTAAAGGATGGGAAATCCCTCAACTAAAATAGAAAGGACAAAAGAAGTGAGCGTATATAGTCCAGACAAGCATGAGATGAGCATGATGAAACTACAAGTACTGTGAGTAGAAGACCTAGGAGCCGTAGAAGAGGTGCCCCTCTCCACCCCAACTCCTCCTTTCACTGTTTCAGTTCTTCTCTGCCTTGGTAAAGGCAAATCTCTAGGCATTTGCCAAGTCTAACACTGAGCTTTTTTCTGATTGTTTTTTCCCATGTTGGATGGAATGATATGATAGGATTGGTACAATAGAAAGGCATGGGTTTTGGAGTTACACAATCCTGCTGCAGGCTAGCTGTGTTGCCTGGGCAAGCTCTCTTTTGTGAGTCTCAGTTTTCTCTTCTCTAAATGGGGTAACACACCTGCCTCTCACAGTGGTTATGAGGGTTCAGTGAAATTATGTAGGTCAAAGCACATCACCTGTGGCCTCGTGCTAGGTCTGTAGTAATAATTCATTTCTCACTTTGCTCACTTTTAATACTTTAATTTGGCTGGTTTTACCTGACCTAGGGCATTGGGAAGCTTTCTGAGCTCATCTCCCCATTTTCTCTTTCTAACCTTGTCTTCTCTTCTCCCAGGGGCCCAGATCATTGATCTGATGATGCTGGTTATCGACGTGACCAAGGGGATGCAGACTCAGTCAGCAGAGTGCCTTGTGATTGGGCAGATCGCCTGCCAGAAGCTGGTTGTGGTTCTGAACAAGATGGACCTCTTGGCTGAAGGGAAGAGACAGGCAGCGATTGATAAAATGACCAAGAAAATGCAGAAGACCCTAGAGAACACCAAGTAGGTCTGCCAATGAGAGGAATGTTTACATACATAAGCGGGCTTCAGGGCACACACAGATTGGAGAGGCAGTTGTTAGCCTCTGGTACTAATAAGTAGGATCTCACCTGGCCCTTGCTTGCATGAAGGGTAAAGGCTAAAGTACTGTTGCAAGAGGCCAAAAAATACAGAGGCATACAGAAGCAAGAAGTTAATTTTTTTGGTAACTTCCTAATGTGAGCTGTAGGTGGTTCTGTTCTGCACAGCATTCAGAAACCCAGGTTGCCTCCATCTTGCTGGCCCTCCACTGTAGGGTGTGTCCTTGTCTGGTCAAAGTGGGCATGGGCACTACTGTGTTCACATTTACAGGAAGGTCCAGTATGTAGGTCCTGGACCTAGAAAGAATCCCACTGAGATTCTGTTGGTGATTACTGTCCTACCTGCTCATTTAGCCAGGGAATATGTGTCTTTTTAGTTGCAACTAGGTTGTCAGAAGGGGATATGAATTCTGGTAGATGACTGGATGTTTGTCACAGAGGCTTATAAAATTGGATGGATAGACAACATATGGATGGACCGATGGACATTGCTGTTGAGGGGAGACCGAAAAGCAAGATCACAAAAGAACCTTTGCAATATTTCATGCTAACGAGTTTACAATTTTAGCTTGTGGAAAGAAGGGAGTTGTTGAAGAATTTTGTGCAAGGGAGTGATTGTAAGAGGTTTCCATTTCATCCAGAGATGTCTGGCTGCTGGTGGAAGGATGGTGTGGCAAGGAGGATCTGGAAGCAGCAGGGAGACAGACAGGGATCGGTGGTGGTATTGGTTTTTTCAGAGAGAAGTGCGGCTCTGAGTTAAGGTAGTGGAGGGAGGGAAAGGTGATCTGGGGAGATCTTTAACAGGAAAATCAGCAGGCCTTGTCAGGCTATTGACTCTGCCTACAGTCAGCACATTCTGATAGGAGAGGTCCATGAGGGCAGAAAGGTGGCAATACTACTGGGCAGGGTGAGGGTGGGAGGAATGCAGGGACTGTGGGACAGAAGCCACCTGGTTGCTCAGGTGGCCCAAGGAATGACTAATTGCGATGTGGTTGAGAAAATGAGAAAACGACTTTGTTGAACGAACACACAGTGTTGCCAGACCTCACTGTTTTATCAATTCCTCTCTTCTTCTCTGGGCCAGTGCCTTTTGATCCATACTAAATAGCAGTCACCAGGAGACAGCGATGCTTCCTCAATGCTATGCAGCCCAAGACAATATTCAGCTACTTCCACTTCTCCTTCTCCTGCCTGAGGAGGGCAAACAAGTAGAGTGTTTTTGTTTCCGCATCATAAAGATTGATATGCCTTCCCATTTATGATTTTTTTTTTTTCAGATCCGACACCTGCAGCTCTCCCTCAGAATTCTCAAGTTGGTTAAATTAAAGCTCTAGCCCTGTGAATGGGCCAAAATGTCATAAAAGATTTCCTAGCGCTACCTTTTGTTAGCAAAATTCATCAATCTGATAAAATCGACACATTTAGATAAGTATTGCATAAGAATTCAGACTTTGTTATTCCCAACGGAAGTAGATATGAGGCTGTAAAAAGGAAGATAAAAAATTATATCTTCTTTTCTAGTGAGTTATTTGATCTCTCTGCCATTTTATTTACTTGTCAGAAATTGGAGAACAGATCCTTTGGACTCTGGCATAAAAACCCAGCACATTATATAGCAAATGTCAGTATCATTTGCTATATAAACAGGACCTTCTGGGAAGGGCTTAGGGTACTTTTAAGGGTGAATTAATATTATTTCAATTAGTTAAATTTAAGGGAAATTCTCACTTGTATGTTTAAATTACCATCTATTTTAATTTATTGGTCAAAGGTCAAATTGCAAATTTCATCACACATCCAGAGGAAATTGTCCCTCTGAGGGGTCTTTGAACCTCTCCCCTCCTCACTTAATGCCCAGCTGCTGGGAGAGAAACAGATAAAGGAAAGGATTGCTGCCCTGATGGGTTGTAGTTAGTGGGCCCAGTGGGCCTGTGGCCAGGCCAAGGTGAACTGCCTCCTAAGAGAACATTTGTTTTTACCTCTCTAAAACGAAGAACTTCTTTAAATCATTTTAAGCAACTATTTCCTTTTCTTATGGCCCCCATTTAAATAAATCCTTTGTAAATGCTGGTCTAAAGGTGAAGAAACTTTCTATCTGGAAAGGAAAAATTTGGACTGGTAAACTATGTGTGATTAAAACCTGAAAAATGTTAAAACATAAAAGTTTGTTTTTCTATCTGAAGAGTAATTGAAAGAAAATCTGGAAAACAGAGAAAAGTGATTAAAAGAAAGAAGAGACCACCTAAAGATTTCTTTTCTCAAAATAGCAGCTGCTGACATTTTGGTATACTCTACATACTTTTCACTATGCAGAGTATTGCCCCCCTCCCACTTTTTAAATTGTATTAAAATATATATAACATAACATTTATTATTTTAAACCATTTGTAAATGTACATTTCAGTGGTACATTCACTGAATTGTACATTCACAAAGCTGTGAACCCATCACCACTGTCTGTAAATCTAAAACTTTATTTTTTAAACAATAACTCCCCTTACCGCCCCCCCCGACCCCCCCGCACACACACACACCAGCCCCTGGGAACCTTTATTTTGCTTTCTGTCTATATGAATTTGCCTATTCTAGGTACTTAATTTAAATGGAATCATATATTTGGCCTTCTGTGTATACCGGTTTATTTCACTTAGTATAATGCTTTCTTTCAGGGTCCATCCATGTCGCTGCCTGTGCCAGAATTTCACTTCTTTTAATAAATGAATAGTATTCTATTATGTACATATACCATATTTTATTCATTTATCTTTTGATGGATACTTGGATTGTTTCCTTTCAGTTATTGTGTATAATGCTGCTACAAACATTGGTATACAAAAATCTCTTCAAGTTTCTGATTTTAGTTCCTTTAGCTATATACCCAGGAGTGTAATTGCTGGACCATATGATAATTCTATGTTTAACTTTTTGAAGAACCATCAACTGTTTCCCACAGTGGCTGTATCATTTTATATTCCCACTAGCAATGCACAAGAGTTCCAATTTCTCCACATCCTTGCTAACACTTGGTTTTGCTTGCATTTCTCTAATGACTAATGATGTTGAGCATCTTTTCATGTCCTTATTGGCCATTTATATATCTACTTTGGAGAAATGTCTATTCAAGACCTTTGCCTCTTTTTTAATTGGGTTGTTGAGTTCTTTATGTATTCTGGACATTAATCCCTTGTCAGATATATGGTTTGCAAATGTTTTCTTCCATTTTTTAGGTCATCTTTTCACTTTCTTGATCGTATCCTTTGATGCACTAAAGTTTTTAATTTTGATGAAATTTAGTTTATATATTTTTTCTCTTGTTGCCTGTGCTTTTGGTGTTATATCCATGAAATTGTTGCCAAATCCAATGTCATGAAGATTTTCCTCAGTGTTTTTTTCCTAAGAATTTTATAATGTTAGCTCTTGTTTAGGTCTTTGATCCATTTTTGGTTAATTTTTATATATAGCATAAGTCAGGGCCCAACTTCATTCTTTTGCATGTGGATATACAGGTTTCCCAGCATCATTTGTTGAAAAGACTATCATTTCCCCTTTCCCCTTGTCAAAAATCAGTTGGGTTTATTCTGGGTTCTCTCTTCTGTTCCATTGGCTTATGCATCTGTCCTTAGGTCAGTACTACACTGCTTTTTTTACTGTAACTTTGTAGTAAATTTCAAAGTAAGGAAGTTGAGTCTTCCAACTTTATGCTTCTTTTTCAAGATTATTTTGGCTGTTTGAGGCCCCTTGCGATTCCCACATGAATTTGAGAATTTGCTTTTCCATTTCGACAAAAAAATGGTTGTTGGAATTTTAATAGTGACTGCACTGAATCTGTACATTACTTTTTGTAGTATGAACATCATAACAGTATTGTTTTCCAATCCATGAACACTGATGCCTTTTTATTTATTTAGATCTTCTTTAATTTTTTTCATCATTGTTTTATAGTTTTCAGCATATAAGTCACATCCTTGGTTAGATTTATTCCTAAGTATTTCATTCTTTTAGATGCTATTACAAATGGAATTACTTTCCTAATTTTCTTTTTGGATTGTTTTTGCTGGTATATAGAAACACAGCTGACTTTTATGTATTAATCTTATCCTCTGTAATTTTGCTGAATTCAGTTCTTCCCTTTTAAAAATATAATCATGAGATATTTACATTTTTGATTTATGCTTTTATTAACATTTTATATAGGAATTCTTTATGTAACCATTATTGTTGTTGACCTTTTCAGTTGGCTTCAGTTTTCTTATAAGTAAATAATCCTTTGACCATCATTAAACTTTGTATTTTCAGTTTTTTCCCCATGAGAGAATCTAGGTGCAAGATTACTGGATCAAAGGGTACAAACCCTTTTAGACCTTTATTATACATCCCCATATTCTCTTCCAAAAGGGTTTGTCCTGTTTTACACAGTGTCAGCACCTAACTTTGATTTCTCATTTTAAAAATATATTTGAAACTTAATAGGATAGGAATGATGTTTTACTCGTTTTAATGTGTGATTCTATAATTACTGGTGAGATTGAATATTTTCCTTTAAGTGTATTAAACGGTTGTGTTTTTGTGTGTTTGAATTGTGCCCATATGTTTTGTCTATTTCCTTTTTGCAATTTTAATTTTTTTTTATTTTCAAGAATGTTTAATATTAATAAAGTTGTTATTAACCCTTTGCCTATCATTTTTGCTATAAATACATCTTAAGCATTTATTGTTTGTCTTTCCATTTTAGTTGCTTTTTTGACATGCAGAAGTTTCTAATTTTATGTAGTCAAACTCTTTGATTGTTTTTCTTTGTGATTGCTTTATTTCTGAAAACATTTAAAATTACTCTTGCATAAGCATTTGTTAATGTTAACAGAAATCAAAATAGAAGATAAAAATGTACCCATAATCTTTCCAATGCATCAAATTAAAGTGTTT